AATAAAATTTCAAACCACAGTATGAGACACTTAGGAAAGCCTCACAAAAGATGAAAAAGTTTGTTTTATAAGGGTCATGACAATGATCAGGGCTTGAAAAACAAGGATGCCCACTTGCAAGAAAAGAATTAATTTAATGGAATTTTTGTTTTTAACAGTTCTGACATTGACACCAATTGCTTTCACTGACTGACATCTAACAATGTCTTATAAATTCTTCACTTTTCTGGATACTGAAAGCTGAAATTAATAAATTCTTAGCAGTAGAACAATGAGAATCATGTCAGGCTCGAATAGAACTTGGCATAATTTGCCAAGCCCTGACAATAAAAATAATGATTACTACTACTATTACTGTTACTACTGAAACATACCCTGACAAGGCTTCACGTTTGCCTTCAGATGTACTCGTTGCATTTATGATACCGGACTTGGATGCACTGCTCAATTTGCCACCAGACATCTCTCCTGTAATTGTTGTCTGTTGCTGCTGTTGACGGCCAGCACTTTTTCGCTCACTTCTTTCCTTATTACTCTCTCGAACGGCTCCTGCATCCTTTGTTTTCTCTACTGAGCGATCCTTCTCTTGCTTAATTTCTCCATTCACTTGCTTTGTGGCAACAGTTGCTGCTGGGTTGTTCAGTTCCTGTTTTACTGATCCACAGTCTTGAGATTTTGAAGGCTATAAACAAAAGAAAAATCCAGTGGATCTCCATCAACACCAACATTCATTCACATCATCACATCTCTCCCTAAGCTATTTAAATATTATCCTCCATCTTAGTTGTCAGGATGGTCTCCTTGAAATTACTCCGCCAAAGTGTCATATGCATTTCCTGTTTCTCCCCTCCTATTTTTTGCATGATGGAAAAGAAAGCTATGATGGCTGAAGCAAATTTAATTAAGGTAAATGCAAAGTGTAACAACACTGCACAGAAAAGTAGCCAACAGTGCTGGGAAAGAAAGAGAGATCATATCCAGGCAACAAAAGCTTGCCAAAGTGAGGGACCAACCACCCACATAGCTGGTAAGTGAACTATTTTGATCCTTTTTTGATAGCAAAACCAGAAACAAAGTTACCTTATCACCAACTTGATGGAAATCAGTTTCACGGATCATGGAAGCTGATTTTGCCTTTAGCTGACCACTGTAACTTGTAGCAAGGATAAATAAATCTTGTCTCTGATTTTTCTCCTCCTCACGAACCTGAAATACACATATGTATAAACTTCAAAACTGTTTTTACATTTTAATATAAATTGAACATCTAATAATTGGAAGGCAGCCTGAGATCAACAGATGACAAAACTATAATTCCAGTTAATAAAATATAAAAATATATCATCACCATCCAATGGCATATCTACCAGGGCAGGTTATCTAACAAAGGTGTCTGTCTCCATTCTTCTCCACCCTCTCCTTCTTTCTCCTGTGTCCCTTCTTTCCCCACAGTATCTTATAGATATTACCTCACAGATAGACAACATTAGGCAGGGCTCAAAAATACAAACAAATTCCACTAGCCACTTAACACAATTCATGCCCACAACCTAAAACTTACATCAAAGGATATTTTTAAGATTCAATTAATCACACAATTAATACACATAATACTAATAACAGGTCATTTTAACTTACCTGTGGGAAGTCAGCAAATGCCTCAAGACACCATACCTTTCAATTTATTTTAATTTCTTACATTTATGGAAGTGTAAGTATTAAAGCCAAAGAGACATATGTATGTAATGTGGTAATTAGGATGCCATTTTTTGTAACACAAATAGCGACATGATAAAGCAAAACAATTATATCACTGCCAAACTGCACATCACTTATTATCTGTAACATTCTTCAGAAGCTAGTCTTATAATTCTGACACTAATCCTAATTTAGTGTATCCTGACCAGAGGTTTTCTTTTATTTACTGTTAAATTTACAAGGTTCCAAGAAAATTACAATCATGTTTAATTTCGACAATTTAAAGTTGTCATAAGCCGTGTCCAAATATGTTGTCCCCAAGAAGAATCTTGTAAGCATTTCACTGCAATACAGACAAAATGATTCTCATTCTAGAGTAATCTTTTTGCACAGAAATTTTCAGTTGTACTGTAAGGAGGCCATAGACCTGATTCAACAGTACACTGATTGTACTGACAGCACAGACAATGTACGCAGATAATATAACCACAATTATGAAAAATTGTATTTACAGCCTGTGGCATCTAATATGGATGGCAACTTGTTCACACAGTGAGAAGACATATATATGTTTCTTGTGAATACAGAGCTTGAGCTGTTTCTGGTAATTACAAAAATTGGTCAATTTTCTGAATATGGAAGTGTGCTCAACAAAACTTAGGCTGCAGAAAACTATAATAGTTTTTCATGGAATGTGTCTTTTTTGGTGCAAGGGTGAATTAAAAATTTGGAATGCTCTTATAAATTAATATCTTCAAAAGCAGTTTACCTTCTCAATCTTTCGCTCAATAATCTGACTCAGTTTGGCAAGCACTGGGAAGTGTGGAAGAATCTTAATGAGGATGATAAGTGAATTCCGAATCTGGACATAATCCTTAGAGTCAAGGCAGACAACCATAGCTTTGGTGATTTTGTAATGCCACTTATGACAAACATGGCGGTAGTTTTCATATCCAACATGGTCATTTGCCTCCGAAAACTGGTTGCTTACACGAAACTTGGTTACAAACCCTGGATAGTTTGAACATTCCTGTAACAAGAAAAAAAGTTTGTAATTGTAAGATATGGAGCACAATAGCAAGAAGTTGTAAAACAATTACAAACAGCAAACCTCAAACTGAATTTAACAGGTAAATTTGTCTCTCAAATTTATATCTTTTTTGTGGTTTACTTAATAGCACTTTCTCAAATGTACAGATTATAGAGTTGAATAGAATGACTAAATGATACATTGGGAAGGATGTGGAAGCAGATGTGATCTGTTTTAATGTTATCAACCCAGAATTTATCAGTAGGGACCGAAGAAAATCACCAATGCCTCAACAGGAACATGTAGCAAGAATTCTAAATACTCAACTGGAACATTTGGTCAAAGAAATTATATGAAAACTTATTATAACAGAACAGACAATGAAAAAGCTATGACCAACTATATATTATAAGTCAGGATTAATGATGAGCACAGATGGGAAAACAAAAACTTAAAGAAAACATTTTGAAGAGTATATTAAATTAAAATAAACAAGCTGAAACAGCTTACACATGGCCATATGATGAAACAAAACTGGTTAAAAAACATCCAGGGACAGATCCAGGGAAGGGCAAAAGAATTTTTGGTTAGGTTAGGTTACAAGGATTCTAATGAGGGACACCACAGAAGGATTAATGGGTGGTACATTATTGGACACAAAAGGAAGGAACATGGCACAGAAGAGAGAAGCATTCATGTAATCAATACTTGTGATGAAAGAAACAATTCAACATAAATAAAAAGATGTATATTTAGAATTGTAATTACATAAGTTTCAACACCTTAGACTACATCATAACTAAAAAGAAAATATTAATTTGCATTACTAACCTTCTCAAAAGTAGCTTTCTCAGAATGCCACCTCATAACAGTCTCCAGCATGGCACAGAGAAACCTACCATAGCGATTAGCCTCATTTTCAGTGCACGATGTTACTGAATATGTGATATCACAGAAAAGCTGCAAAAGAATACAAATTTCAATAAACTCTGTCCTTGCAACTGAACTGAACCCATATTGCCTGGGAGATAAGTAAGTTATCACTCCTAACAAGCTGAACCGTGTATGATGTTCAGCTTGCACAATAAATTACCATTTACTGCATTAAGATATATACATAGTGAGAAACATTTGCAGCTATTTCATTAGTTCTTCAGATCGGCTTATGAGTTCAAACATCAAGGCTTTCCAGAACATAAGCATGCTCACTAGACTGAGTTCTAAAAATTAAGTCTTTAAATGGGAGAGGTGGTTCAAGAACATTGAAGTTTAATTCAAGGTATTTATGTTTGACAGCAGTAATGACAGTTGTTTCTGCTGGAACCTTTACTGGGAACCATGGCTGAATCACCGACTGCTTTGATTTTATTGAAACTGTCACTAAAGTTTGCTGTAGGCAGGAGATGAATTTAGCAGAACATGAACCACAAATATATTTTGAAAAAAGTGGTTAATTTGAACCAAAATCAGGAGGAGGATTCATTGTGCAGCAAGAACCCATTCTAATCCAAGGCATTTTCCTTACTTGGAAACCGATGAACACAGTGTGGGTTCACAACCACCATGATGGCCATGTATTCCTTCTGGTTTTGATTTTGTCACAACCCGAGTCCTGAGACTGACAAATGTAAACATCCGCACTGGATATGAATACAATCTTCTTCTTCTATGGCTCTCCAGTCCGTATTCGGTCCATGGCCTCCTCAATTCTCCTCTTCCATTCAGTCCTATTGTTAGGTCCATTCTGTCCGAGGCTTTGATTGAGGTTTTGAAACATCTTCCTTTTTACGGTGCAAGGTTGTTAGCCTTGCGAACAACCCCCAACCAGGAGGACCAGGGTACCTGTCTTAGTCTGACCTCTCCCTCTTGACTAATTTGGCTAGGGAGGCCCTACCAGTAGCTATGCTACCGCCAGCATAGCTCTTGGGGTCACTGAGGTACTCAAGCCACACCACCACGACAAGGAGCAGATAGATACAATATGCCTCCAAGAATATATCAGCAAAGGAAACTGCTGTATTACCTCTCAGTTACAAAATCCACATGTAATACTTGTAGAAGATGTATTATGCATAGATCAATATCTGGCACTACTTGTTCTATTTTTAAGATAAAAGTATAATGATACTCACTCTGTCATAGCACAGCAAAGTGGAGAAGTTGGCAGTCTTAAGACTGTGAATAGTGTGCACAAACTTAGCACAGTACACAGCATCTGTAGCTGTGAAAATACATCTTGGGAATAGGCAGAGTTGCAGGAATTGTGTGATGGTCTCATTCTTTGCTGATTTGGCTGATCGTGACAAGAACCAAGAATCCTTTTCCTGTAATTAATAATGCAACAATGTTTACGGTTTGTTTGTAGGTAATGCTATATCAACCACACAGTATACCAACTAAGATAATTATTATGCACAGTTAGCTGCAAACACTTAACCAGGATAGACAGTTCCAAGCTAACAAGTTGAATGATAATTAATGTACACACAATGTAATGTAAGACTGACATGTGGAGTGAAGTTGGTAAACCAGTTTAGACAGCTATCTTAAAACAATACCTGTTTTAACCTGGCCATAACTTTCTCAACATGTTCATGCTGTTTCTTCTTTTCTTCCTGAAGTTTCTCCATGAGTGCTGTATATCTCTCTTGTTCCTTCTTGCCCTTGCTGGCAGCCTGAAAAAGAAAACAAGTCTCTTAATTTGCCCCACAATCTCTTGACAAGTGGGATGGCCTCTGTATACCAAAATATTCAGTAGTATCACAAATTCAGTAGCTGCCTTGATATTTATTTATATAAGACAACTGTTGCCTTAACTTTTTGATACAAAATGACATTAAATATATATGAAATCTTTACTTCTTTTGCACTTGTTTAAATGTTTCTCTACATTCTAAGAAAATGCAGAAACAAGAAATGGAGTTTTACTATATGCTTCTGTATTAAAAGCATAAATCACACAGTGCAGAACACTATCATTCACTAACTCCCATTTTTTTAATAATGCTCTTGCCTTTACTGTATTCTGATGAACCAATTGTGAATTATGAATACTTGACACTTGAGCATGTGCGTTATTATTAGTTATCACCTGCAGTCATTCAGAAAAAGGCAGAGAAGGAGAACAATGTGTATTGAAGATCATGAAGTAAACATTAACAAAAAACACAATGATGAGGATAAGCATAGAACTGGTGCTTGAATGATGTAAGCATTTTGTTTTGAGACACAATTAAGTTGACTTCACTGACATCGTTTGAACAGTTTGTGCAACTTCAGAACAGACCTGATGGGCCTAAACCTTGTTTGAAAGAAGAAGAAGAAGAAGCCAGCTGACTTCCTTGGACATCAGTTCCATTACACAACATACAGTTTGTTGGGATGGCAAGAGTGAAGGAGAAGGGATACTGCAGTGCACACGACACAATGTTAAAATGACACTGCTGCCTCAACAGTCATAAAAACTTTACTGCAAGCTAACACAGAAGCTGTCTTTCACATGGAATCAGATCCATTCATCAATCTGATCAGATGGGAAATGGAGGTAGAATACAAAGCACAGGAGCAACAGAACTAAATGACTGATTATTGGACTATATAACAATGCTCCTAAAACTGAAGAGATTGTATAGTATCATGCAAGATGGAAAGATGATCATGAAAGGGAAGTATTTAAGGGCTTGGAAGGGGGCAGTTGTACATTCAAGGCACCATCCTAAGACTGAAGAAATACTATAAAGAACCCAGTCAGTGTAACCAAGCAACACAGCTGACATTGATAGTCAAACAGCGCACATCCTAAATGTAAGTCCAGAGCACTGCCACAACAACTAAAAACAACATATTCATAACAAAAATGAATCTTACCATGTCTTTGGAGTCCATTACTTGAAGGGAGAGTTGTTTGATCTTGTTGATTTCTCGCTGATAACAATCATTAGGAACAAACAGATCATACATTGTTAGAGACCAGAAAGTCACCAGGAACTGGGGAGAGATGTCTTCCCACACCTTAGGAGGATGCAATGGCCGAACAGAAGCAACTATAGGGCTCATAACTTCACCAGCAGCCTCACAGTACTTCTGGTGTTTTGCTGAAGGAGATAATTTCTTGCAGTTTGGATCAGCCTTGCGCAATGCATCATACTTCAGCTGAAAGTATATAACAGAACCGTGGTCAGTTAAATATGAATAGTCTATCGTCTTCCACCATTCATTCCAAACAATATCTACTGTCTACAAAATATATGAGTACAGTAATTATTTGAACAATGCAGGACTCCACTTTGTGTTCATAATTATTTTACAGAACACAGAAAAATTGCTTACATCCAAGTTAATGTAGAATGAAGAACCCAACCAGGCACCACTTTGAAACTTACTGAGAACTGGGACAGCTCAGTCATCTAAATGACTGGCAATGGTCTATAAGACTGTTATTTGATTCCTGTCAAGGGCAGGATTCTTTCCCATGAAATTGTCAACAGGCTCTATGGTCAATTTAGCCCCTAATACAATGGGTACTGGGGCCCAAGACAAAAAGGTGAAGTGACCACTTACCTCCATCTAGAACCATGGTCAAGAATGCACTGAGCTTTACCTTCTGCTCCTATGTATACAAGGCAGAGTTTATACACAGGGACAGCTTTTTCTTTACTGCTGCATACTCAAGCATCATTACCCAGCATTCCTCTATCAACCATGCACAAGCATGTAACATCATATTCATAAAGTCAGTTCTTTGTTATAATTTACTAACATACTGATAAATGCTTTCCATGAATATAGCATTATGTGGCAATGTTAAAAAATATATAAATAAATAAGTAAAAAACATAACACTGTATTAGTCTTCCTATATTTTAACAATAATACCAACTTATGTCAAGATATGAAATTATGAAGGTAAAGATTATTTTCTTTTTAAAAGTAGGAGAAGATAAAATACATGTTTTCTTAATATTTCTGGTTAAACATTTTCTGCTGGAAACACTCACAGATCTATTAACTCCTTGCACAAAAATGTCAAGTATGTCTCATAAGATCAAATGGCATAACACTGCAGTACATATGTAACCACTTTTCAAATATTTTTAAGTTTTTACCTATTGTTCCATTCCTCTAATTCTCTTCTCTCTGACCATTTCAAATGAGAAGGCATCTTCCTCATTCATGATAGAATCATTCTGTCCACAGCAGTGACAATGTTGAAAAACATAATAATTTAATAGCACTCACATTAATAGCATGTGTGAACATGGGCCGTGCCAAGAAAAAAGCAACATCAGCATGGATGTGATAGTCTGCCAGCATACTGTGGATGGTAGGCAACTTTGTCACATATTCTTCCATTGACAATGTAGAACCCAGGAATGTACCAAACTGAACCAATGTATCTTGGCACTAGAGAGAGAGAAAAAAAATATGTCAAGGTTGAATATTAGTTTCTCGCTGCCTGAAGTAAGGCAGCATTTCTCAATCAATGTTTATAGGTCTGCTGCAAGCATTTCAAATTTACATGCATATTTTACAAAATGTGTTTATAACCATAAGACCTTGTGTAATCCTGCTTTTTCATCTCTTTGGCTTGTGCACCAGCTTTTTTGTTGAATTATTACAAAAATTCACCTAATGCATATAAAGAAGGATGTTAACATTTCAAAAGTACCAAAAATGCACTGTGAGACAGTGACAATGTTGAAATAATTCAGATGGCAATCCTAACAGTAGTGAAGCATAACAGTAATATAAGTATACTATTGCATTGTCATTAATTTTTTATGTTATGCTGTTTTATTAGCTATCAAGTGCACTTGTGAAATTTTTATAGGCTGGAACATTAATAAGATTGATCACTTTTTAATCGTTGGTATGTTTCATTAAAATAATAATCTTTTCCTGATGTTACAAAAATGATAATGTGTCTTGTTGGAGGGTGCACAGTATTTGGATAAATATGGCAAAACAACTTTCATGTCTTCAGGAGCAATCTCTAAAATCTAAATTTTAAACTTCCTCACTTTCAGAGTTTACCAGATAACACCACTACAACAAACTATAATATTTGCACTACAGAATGAACCAAAACAAAGTGGAATCATCCTGAAATCCTACAATAATATGAAACACACCATGCTGAAGTGAGTGTTTATGATTCTGATGAAACAGACTATGGTAAACAATATGTGAATTCTAGTGTATGCAAGTATTAAAGCCACAACTGAGTACATTTCAAGAGTGGTAGTTACAGCTTGCTATTTTATGTAGCACAAATATACTCAGCCATATGAGCAAAGGAAGTCATACAGCATAGAAATTGTGCAAAAATAATGTTAAAAAATGAGAAGAAGGAAATAAGGAAACACAGTGAAACTCATGACATTCAAGAAGGTCTCTACATCATCTGTTGTTGGCCCACCAGCTCAATATCAGCAACAACTTTTGCAAACTATGCAAATAATGCAGTAACAAAATTATCATCACATAAATTTATTTTCCACACATTTCTCTTCCACCTAATTCAAGATTCCTACTCGGAGCTTAATTCTATGATGCAAAATTAAATCCCCATTTATGTTTCTCTGAGGACCAATGTACATCCACACTACACAATGGAAGAAATCAGTTATTAATAACAACCTTGGAAGGACCTTAGAAAGTAAAGACTGAATAAAGTAAAAATTTGTTCTTACCAACACAGGGTTCAACAAATGTCATCTCAATTCACCATTAAGATAAAAATATCAATTATCTAGCATCCAAAAAGTCACAATAAAACACGGATATTAATACATGCAGCATTTTATAATTGTTTAGTTCCCAGCAAAAATCTTTCATTCAATACAAACAAGATTATTTGTTTTGTTTCTAACCCATGTACCTTAGCATAGAAATAATTTAATTGTATTTATCATTAAAACTTACACACATTCCTTCAAGATGTACTTTATGAGGTAAAAGTAACTCAGCAAAAGAAAGTCTTCATACCTGATCATACAGTTTACCAACAAGTTTTAAATGACTCTTGTCTGTTTCCTTGTACACAACACAGTATCTCTGCTGGGCCATGAGAAGACACAAAGCCACAGCCAAATTTTGCTCTGACAGTGCTTCTTTTAATCTCTGTGATGACTTTTTTGTGTTCCGCACCTGGCTAAAGTATCCGGCCTGAAAATTCCAACACATTAGTACCTTCAAGTCATGCAATTCTGCTCACATGTACACCACATCCAAACAGCAAAATGTTCAAATATAATTGTTCCATTAAAGTTTAGAGATACCAGCTTCTTTTACCTTGGAAATTTCAAGTGCCATGTAAATAGCTTTTTCTTAAAAGGGCACTGAACAAGCCACTTGAAATAAAAGACAACAGGACACAGTATGCACTATAAAGCCCCATTATATACAGCAAACATACTCATACAGAAGGCAACACGTTCAACATCTGCTAAAAACTTGTACGAACTGGCATTAAGTTCACAGTTGATTTCATGTATTTATGTAGAATTTAAGGCATAAACTTATAGTTCAGAACTTCGTGTATAAAAACCCGAGTTCTTAATCTGAAAACCAACATACCTCTCCTTTCAACAGTTCACCACCAGCCATTGCTTCTAGCTGTTCTGGTGTCATTTCCTCTGCTGCTTCAATGCCAGCCATCTTCTGAACAATCTCCTTCAAAATCAGAAGGTCCAAACTGGAAATCAAAAACCAACACAATTCCATAAAAATCATTTAAACAATTATATTTAAGGTAAGTAATGTTTTCAGCTCCAGTTATCCAACAATAATTTACTAAAAAATTCCCTTGAAAGATTTTAAAAAAACATGTGCAAATATTTAACAAACTTCCTATAGCATGCTTGTATGAGTACGGGGGAGAAAACATGAAGCCCGGCTGATAAAATAAAAAAAATATAGAATTCTTGTAACTGGTACTCAATGTGTTATCACAAGAAGATTACCGAGTCTATACTGCAGCAACCTGGTGCTACTCTTCAGATAAGAAACAAGAGACACTCCACATAAAAAAACAATCACACCAAGTAACATCTTACCATGCCACTGAAGTTCATAAAAGTTTTTAAATGTTTCAGAAATTAAGTTGGGGATTAACTTTAAATCTAGATAAGACAATGTATTGGAATTTAGGAAATACTAATGACGCACTGATAATGGAAACGGGAGAAATAATAAAGAGGACAGAAAAGATTAAATATCTAGGAGCGATGATAGGAGACCAAGGGATGTATGAAACTGAAACAGAGGAAAGAATAAAACAAGGAAGGAGACTCATAGGAGCCCTCAACCCAATATTATGGGACAAAAATATCACAAAAAGAACGAAAAAGAGAATATATAAAATGATGATACAAAGCGTGGTTCTTTATGGAGCAGAAATTTGGCAACTCTCGGAACAACAAAATAAATTGAGAATAATGGAAATGGATTTCCTAAGAAAAGCGGCTGGAATTTCCAGAAGAGAGAGAGAGTGAGAAACGAAAGGATTAGAGAAATCATGAGGATGGATCGAGATATAATTGAGGAGATAGAGAAAAGACAACTGATTTGGTACGGACACGTGCAAAGGATGGAGGAAAGGTTACCAAAGAAGACTATGAAATGGCAACCAAAAGAGAGAAGGAAGAGAGGGAGACTGAGACCAGGATGGAACAACAGAATTATAAGAACCATGATAGAGTGGAAACTACATCCGGAAGGATGGGAAAATAGAGAAGAATGGAAGAAAATATTAGGCACCAGAAGACCGAAGTAACGGTCAAGAAACAGAAGAAGAAGAGAGAAATTAAATTGCTTCAAATCTGTTCATTTTATATCAATTTTGGACAAAACCAAGCATCTGTACATGCTAATCACTTCAATTTAAGTCTGCTCATATTCTTGACCTTTCTCTCTTTTATAAAGCAGACATAGTTCGTAAGTAAATTACTGTTCATACCTCTTCTGTGCCTTCAGTTGGTTGGCAACATATTGCAACAATCCTGTAAGTTCAATGTTGTACTTCTTGAAAATGGCACCACAGAAAGAGGCAAGGCTTTGTAGCCACAAAGAGATTGATGTTCCATCGTGTTTGAAACGATCACGATCTGCCGATGCTAAGGACTCAATGAGACAGTAGCCCAGTACATCGTATGACAAACTTGTCAGGTATTTTAACGAATCAACGACTGGATTAATGAGGTTGTCATAGATCTGGATCTGAACTAGAACCTGGAGATATAACAAACAAAACAAATTACATGAGTGATGTTCCCACAGCAGTGATCATGTCAATGTTGGTCTTCTGGGTTGAACGCTGTGTGGAATTGTAGGTATCTACCAAACATTTTGAAGGAACATAACGTCTGTATGAAGGCATATGGGAGAGTGATGTAAAGATCCACACTTACCTAGTAATATATTAAATGTAAAATTCTAAATGCCAACATACATAGTCAAAGAGGAATCCGGGTGAGCAATGTGTTAGTTTTCCTATGAGCCTCCCAACAGGTTTAATATTCTCCTTGCTAACTCTCTTCATAATAGACTTGATCTTCTTCAGTGCTTCACCTCGTTTCCGCAACAATTTTGCATGCTGTTGATAAGTTTCGTTCTTCCAACGGCTGTACAAACAGTACCTTAAATCAAAGAACAAATTTAAATGAGGACTGAAAATTAAAATTTTTATAATATCCTCAAAGTCTGAATATTTACATTTATTAACATCCTCTGTCATGAAAAATATGTATTGGAAACATAATTGCAGTCAGTACTTTAGAATGTTTTCTTTGACAATGTCACACATTCAGAAGAGTTCTCCAAAGAAATTTAATAAGCTAGTCTCACAACCTACAGCTTATTATACAACAATCCATGTACCTATGTGTTGCACTAAGCATTTCATAAAAAGTTTTGTGAATTTATGAACCCAGAAACCAAATTCACACAAGGTGTGAGAAAAACACCCCTAAGGTAAAATGTACGCAAATAATCATCATACAGCATAAAGGTAGCAGTCACCAGATATCGTAAGATATATAATAAATCTTTCAATGATACAAAGAGTGCATGAAATGAGGAATGACATGTTTGGCACTATTTGATCTATTACTAATTTTAAATTTCACATTTTATTCACTTATAAGAAAGTAACTTGCTGCGTCAATTGCCGATGGTAATGTACACTGACTAGTCAGCTGCACATGTAATAAGCTAACCATTCCAGTGCCATACCAAAAGTTACTGAATTTATAATTGTCTTTTGAACTCTGAGCAGAATTTCATTTTTTTTTAATTTCAATTCAAAAATTAAATATATATTTTCTGCCCCTGCAGGCATTGTTTATCACTCCATCCAGTTAAATGTAGTGATTCAGCATTTTGTTTGAATTTATACTGACATTTTATAGAACTGCTTACTATCAATCAAGACAATCTTAAACTTGTTAAACTAACCTGCACTGGTAAGGATACAGTTTGATGACGTTCCACACCTCTTCAGCTATACAGCAGTTACAGTCCATGTATGAGAGGGAGGGAAGTATGACTTCATCCAAAAGTGTAATAATATCATAGTATAAATTATTTTCTCCCTCTGGGATTGCCTGCTGGTTTTCACCACATCCCTAATGATAAGAAAAATAAATGGCACATTAATGAATGAAAGCCTTATAAAGGGTTAACAAAAAGTTTTCAGAAGCATTTAAGATAAATGCTTGGTACTTTCCTTTAAATTTTTAATCTTCTACATTAAATTATACAATTAATTCAATTACAGGCTTTTGTTATATGCCACTTGTCAGACATAATATCAATATATTTGATCTGAATGAACAATACACATTTAAATTTCAAATTTTATTAGCAGGTCTCCAATTATGTCAACTTCCATGTGGGAAAAATAATGTTACTCAAAAAGTATGGACCATTTTATAATAAAACATGCTTCTGAACACTACATGTAAGTACCTGGGTAAGTGCAGCCTTTGCTAGTCGAATAACCTTGTACATAAGCACTGGGTCATAATGCATGGAAGGTCCTAGGGCTAGTAGCATTGGTATTACAGACTCCCTCAACTCCACAAAACTACGTGCTGGCTGCGGTGCCAGTGGACTGTCAAGCAGAGGTACAGGACGCCCCACAATCTTCTCTGCCAGGCCACAATTCCTGGAGAAGGACAAAGTCTGTCAATAACATGAATTGATGTGAAATTCAATAACACATCAGCATCTAGTAGTAGTTTTAGACAAGAAACATGAAGATGGATATGAATTCCCTATAATGAGTACATTTTATGCACTTTGTACAATTAATGTATAAAGCGATATGATAAAAAGTGCAAACCACAAAGTTAGAGGACAATTTACAAAACAATTAAATGTACTAGATAGAGCCACAATTTAAAAAAGGATACTGAAAACAGAAATAGAGGAACTAGGATGGTCAATATATTATTTGACTGTGTGAACAACTAAGAAATTCAGAATAAGATTTCATACTGAGACATAATCCAACCAAATCTTTTAAGTAAATCAACAATATATGATATAAGTTATCAGATAAAAGTGACCTTCACAGGATGCCAATGTCTCAATTTGTAAGAAATGTGTATTTGATCCACCTACTTTCTATACACTGGTTCCATAACTGAATGCAGCAACTCGCATAAAGCACGTGCCACAGGTGGCTGATCCAATACGCAATGTTCTGGCAACCGTTTTGTAAGCTGCTTGGCATGATTCCAATCTCCAACCTTCAGTAATGCTTCACAAAGACCAAACTTCTGATTCGCTGCATACTGCATTGAAAAGAAAACTTAAAAATAACTGTAATTCTGTGAGGTTCAAAGCTTGCCAACATCTATCCTAAAGATGAAAGTGCAAAGTACTTTCCTGATGTGTTGTAATATTTAATACTGAAAAAACAACTGACATTAAAGATAATATAACAATGACAATTCTCACAGCACATTTCCCAAATATTTTCTGGGAACACTGAATTCTAGGAATCACATACATTGATCATGTTTAACTGCATGAATATGGTCCATGATAAAACAGCAAATTATTAGAGGTGTACATTACCAGATAAGTGGAATGATCAGTAGTGACCAAAACTGCACAAAAACATCCATACTATATGCAGCATTCCAACCCATGATCCCAGAATTCACTTCATCTAAGACTGCAAATACCTTAAATTGTACATTCAGTATGATGTATCAATGACACACAGAAATACTGAAAATATTAATCTCCCATGATACAATTACCTTTTCCTGTACATTCTCCTTCTCTTCTACTGGTTCCTCCTTATCTTTGTCCTTCAAACAGATAATGCCGAGTTTTCTGACATATTCCTTAGCTTCTTTCATATCCTTCTCCCATTCTTTGTGAATGACTTTGTCATCAGGAGTCAACTACGGTACAAGAAAGCAAAACAAAGGATTAAAAAAAGGGTTTCAAAGAAACATTGTTCTTTTTTATTACCATTTACATGGTAATATTACATAAAACATAAGCAAACAACAGCTCACAATGGCATAATTTTCAATACTTAAAGTAATGTACACAGACCTATTAAAAATTCTAAGAATTGCACATTTATTTAAGCATAATGAATAAATGAGAGGTGAAGATAAAGTGGTAACTTCTTTTGCATTTTAAAAGGATCTGATGATCATGTGTTACACTCCAAATTACTGACAAGGTCCAATGACTGAGGTTAGATCTTTCTAACGGACCCAAGTGAGTATAAGCCCCTCCCTTTTCACCCAAGGATGGAAAAAGATCCAGTTTCCGAAACGTGTTCTTCGGAATACTAGACAATGGACAAAGTCCAAGAATTTAGTAATCCTGATTCTATTGTATTGTTTGTTAATCATGCATGTGCAATCCCACTCAGTCATCTCTTAAGACATATTAAAGTAAAGAATATGTTCAACCTTCACTGGCTGGATGCCAGTTATTCTGCACAGTCCAGCAGGCTGTGTCTCTCGGTAGTACTGGTAAACTGTTAAAGATCAACAAGCAGGCCTATAGTATGGGAATTTAGATCTCATACTCTGGTATGATATAAGTGTTATGTCACAGATTACAGTGGCTGAAGCAACACATATACGTAATTATGCATTAACCTTTTAAACACATCCAACGTTACATTCAAACATCAGCTGAGGATAATGAGTAAGGTGGCCAGCTATTCATGGCCCAAGGGAATAAAAAGTTGGACAACGCTGTTTTACATAATGAACTACTCTTTCCAACACAAAAGTTGTAATCCAGATTCATATAAAGAATACGACATCAATTCAGGCCAACATAAAATTCAGACTTATTCTTCTTCCTGACACATTTTTCACAGTTTCTTCCCATATTCTTCATTCTGTGTAATGTATTTCCTAACTTGTTGTTTCAAAGACTCCCAAATAAAAAATTCAATTAAAACTTGTGGGGTAGTTTAAATATAATATGAAGGTGGATAGCATTCTCCTATTAAGCATTCATTTAATTTAATTTCATTCACTTTTTACAAATATAAAAATGATATTAATAGTTCACCTAATCTATTTACCAAAATCATCATGATACATACCCAAGAATAAATATCATCAAGAGCAATTATATTATGCTGTAGCATAAGAGCAGTTACAAAGTACAGGGACTTGGGTGTTGTTTCTTCTGCATTGTTCTGGTAGAAACAGTATTTGAAACCCAACACTTCACACAAAATCTTTGGATCACACATATAGGAACGCAGCAATGGAATAAAGAAATGGTGATGATCACGACGGCATTCAAATGATTCCAAGATAATATCTAGAACTCGATTTGGATCCAGATTAAAACATCCTGGAAAAAAAATTGTATTTCAAATATAAAATGGAAAATACTGAATTTGCTACATTACAAGAGAAATTTTGCTATTATGAACATATTTAATCTTTGGTGTCCATTTCTATTCAACAAGACCCTCCATCATATCAGTATTTCTTTCTGGCTTTCATAATTGTCATTTTCAAAACATCACACTATGTTAAACAGGGGATGTCCATCCTAATATGTAAATATATGTTTAAATATATTTATTTGGTTGTGCATTTAATAAGCTAGGACATTCCAATCCCAGTTTCATGGGAACAATGAATAAAGAGTAAATAGTAAAATATATGCTATGTAAAATCCCTGTATGGTACAAACACCTTGCCCAAAGGCCTTTTAAATACAATCAACTAAGAATCACAATTTTTAATAAGAACTTGGAGCCCTTTCACACACACCTCTGATAAACCTTGTCCAGTCAAGAAACAAGAACAACTATGAAAGTTTATCCCATAATAAGAAAAACTTCAGTTAGCCTCAAAATTAATGAATACAAAAGAATATTATCTGGTCATAGGAATCAAACTTACCTATCAATGACTTAATTACTTCCAAAATATTAGTAGGTGTCACATTTCCTGACACTTCCTGATTTAACTCCGTAATAAGTTTGGCATAACCTTCACTTTCCTCCCTGAACAGGTTAAATTTGCGTTGTTTGTAACTGAAATAAATAGCCAAATCAATTAACAAGTAAAAAAACTACCTCACATGTTATAATGAAAGCATCTACAGGAGAAAACACAAAAACTAGAAATATGAAGACTATATTGATATTACCAATTGTAAAAGGGTACAACTATTTTTATAATACTCACTATAGCTTTGTCTTCACTTTGATAAACTTAGTGTAAAAATTTCTATTCTTTAATGTACCAACATCCTGGAGAGTATCAATCTCCAAACGTTCCTTCAGTAACTTGTCAGACAGAAACTAGAATAAAAGAAACAGTACAATTATTTACAGCTATCAATTAAAATTAAAAAAATATGGGCATCCAGTCATTAACAGTTGAAAAAATTAAACTTTTATGCCAATCCATAAGAGATATGATTCACAAACTGCACATCCTAAAAATTTTAATATTCTGCTGACCTTCTCAGTTTCTTTCACAATGAAGCAAAATCTTTGCCTCTCATCGCCATTATTCTCTGCACATGATGTTTCTGCATCAATCACACTGACAACATCCAATATTATAGATGGCATATCACTGTGTAGATTCTGGAATAGAAAAATGACAGGATGTTGGGGAAAAATTTACTTAAATATTACAGCAATATTTAGTTAAATTAAAACCTAAGTCTACATACATTCATTCAACTGGTAACTGGTATCCACAAGGAATTTTTAGAGTTACAGATTCTGAGTCCTGGTAAAGTTTGACAATTTCATTATAAATTAACACAATGGAAACAAGTAAAAACCACTTGAGTTATTAAAAACAGTCCAACAATTCCTTAATGTCATCAGTTTCCATTTCATAATGAGGAGATGAATTATAGAAGTGCAATGGCTGTTTTTTGATTCCATTAGCTCTGTAAAATTTAAATTCTAAAACAACATACACATTATTCAAATTTAACATATTTTAGAAAAATATGGTACTTTACTTCAGCTCACAATATGAAATTTCAATACCAAACAAACCTGATAATAGAAAAATGTGTTCAACATCTACAGCTCATAAACATTTTACTGATGGCCACAGAAGTCTTGTAAGAAATGTAGCCACAAATCAATGGCAAAAAAGAATCTACCTTTCGAGGCTCATTTATTTCAACATGACATGTTAATAGCTTTAATTTATTTTGTTAAAACTTTATAACTATCAGTTGCAGCCTCCATTACACTTATATGTAATTTTTATTGCATCAGACTGAGTTTGATAGAGAACACACTTTTACATCCATTTACCTGAGTGAATACCACACAATTACATTTATTATATTTTAACTGTAAATTGTCAGACTCAATCTACAAACAGAATGAGACAAGATTTTCTAGATGACTGACAAAGTTGAACAGAAGTGACAAAGAGTAAATACTACAAAAATCACAGAATACAAATACTTACCACAATTTCACCTAGAGTGGTTGCAGTTGCTTCTCGCCTCAATGGCCCTTTGATACCATGCCATATTAATTCATAAACTGCTCTTGTGAGTCCTGCAATGAAACACAAATCCATTACTAAATTGTAGACTCCTGACAAGAGGCAATCAAAAGAAATGGATCAGTTACAACAATTTCTTATTCTTTAGCATATACCATTACCATTATGTTCATTTATTGCACATACAACTTTGTGCCACAAAGCCAATCCAGCTAAAGATATCACACTGAACAGAAGCAACACTATTATACTTGCATTTTGTTAAATATTCAAATACATTTCCAACAGATGTTGATAACAGTAGGATCTTTACTTTAAAACATAAACAACATTTCTGTACAATGGGCTGATTTTGAGAAAATCAATTAAGTTTAAAGTGAAATATGTCACTACAACTTTTATTGTGGACCCTATGCCAAATTGAACAACTTGTGTTGGAATTTAAACAACTACCTGCTTGGCCTTGAATGGCCATTTAAAATCTGCAATACGCAAGGGTTTGGGAATGTGGATTGGATTCATCTGGCTCAGAATAGTGACTAGTGGCAGCCTCCTGTAAACATTAATTAATCTTTGATGTTCATAAAAAGCAGGGAGTTTCCTGACCAGCTTAGTATATTAGTACCTTCTCAAGGACTGTCTGCCCCATGGAGTTACTGTGAGACTGCAGCAACTATGATTACTTTAAAAGTAAATTCTGCTGTCAATCTTAAGACAAAACAGGAGTTAGTTTGATTTATTTATATATATATATATATATACACACACACACACACACACACACACACACACACACACACAGATATATATGACCACCACAACCACAACAGAGTGACCTAAATCTTCAGAAAATAAAACTGTACCAAAATAAACACACACACACATTCTTTGAACATTCTTAATTCTGAAGGCACCAAACTAAAATTATTCCAAAGAACAATTATTATACTAATCATGCAGTCTTCCTGTAGAACTGTATATCAATAGATATATGTTAGCTCTCTGTGGTAGCATACTGGACTTGTACACATGGGATCATGGGATTGAAACCTGGTCAAACAAACAAGTTGTTATGCTGCCATGTTATCATTTTACATTATATGTATTTATAAAAGTTTTGTATTTTCTGAAAATATATAACCATTTATCATTGTATGACCCTAATGCAAGTAGTACCAGTGTTGACACCACCCAACAAGACTGTTCATCTGCCATGTTGGTATTACTGACCTAGAAAATTGAAAAGCACAATTCTAGGGAATATTCAAATGGCACAATGTCCATACCAAATTTTATCCAAACCTGTCCAGCAGTACTTTCATTGAATCATGTGGACAGAAACATGATCAGCCTTACATGCATTCATTTCATGCACATCGTGCAAAGAACACATACTAAGACTAGCCTATCATCCACTGGAGACAAGTGAATATACTAAGCCTAGGCTATATCAACTGTTCATGAGCCTGCCTTGATGTTGCCCAGCATAAAGACCATCTTAAATCTTGAGTCTCTTTCCAATGCAAAGGGTTAATTGGGAAACTCATTCACTAGTTTCAGAGATAAAACATGTGGACAGATAAATGTAACATTCATATAATATAGACACATAAGAACATACCTGCATTTTTTCCATTCTTTGTCAAAACAGGGCTAACATTCTCATCACTTTTCACAAATTGCTTGCATGCCTTGATGCTGCAAAAGAACAATTTTTAAATATTTTACTGAAATGGAACACAGGAGTGACGCACAAAAAAGAAGACAAGTAATAAGAATATACAATTGCTCTCTTGTGGTGGCATTAAAAATGTATGTTTTGTTTATGTATAACATCGGTCTTCTGTATGAGTACAAGAAACACAAGTAAACTTATAACACAACAGACATACAAAATATTTATTACATTCAATTTATTGTGTGCTACAAGTTACATGTATCAGAAATATAACAGTAAATCTCAACAAATATTGCCCATTTGATACCGGAATCAAAAACAGCCTCGTACTACACAGGCAAACCAACCTTTTGTACCACAACATAACCACGAGATGGAAAATATATTCACTCACAAAAGCAAAAATTACTGTAAGAAAATGGAACAAATGTTATAATATCTTACAATTCAGTCTTCCCTTGCCGTTCCCAACTTTTCCACATATCAGAACTCAAACAGCTAACAGCCATGTTGTCCACACAACTATTTGTGCATTTCGCCAACTGTTGAAACATTTATTACCAATAATATATAAGATAGCTCTACAAACAATGTATTGACAGAGATTTGTGAAGCAGCGTGTATTGTTAAAAAATTGTCAGTGGAACCACGGTTCCGGAGAATCTGATGTAAATAATTCTCTGTATTTAAATTATATTTAAGCAATAAATACAATGAAAGGAAGGTAGCTGAATGTAATGTAATGAAATGTAATGTCAAAATTATCTAGTCTACGACGCATTTCTTCTACAAGCGATTTACAGCTCAGCTCTTTCCGCAATAACGAAAGCGGATTGTTGACGGCAGTAATGTAACACAACACTGCCGAGTTATCAGATGACGTTTCCTAGGTAACATAACAATGCACGCAAGCTAACCATTGTTGTCAATTTGTTGATACGGATCTTACACATTTTCGTTACACTTTTTTGCCGAATGACCCTTCCGTATAGACGTATTTACGTCAAAAAATATTGGCGTTGATATTGCTTTCGCCTTGATATTAAACACTGACTGTAGGGAAGTTTCGGTTTGTGTGAATTCCGATCTGTGGGTTATACTATCATGTAGCCGGTCACTAAGCTGTGGTTACCAGTGTTGGCGTAATCTGAGGTACCAACGATTTGAATTTGTGTGGGATGTTCACGACGATGTAAATGCAGGTGGTGGTATGGAGTATTGTTGTGTCGTGTATCATATAGGCTGTTTAGCAGCGTTTCATAAAAACACAAGACCTCCATCGTCAGTGTTGACAGTGATCAACAAGGATTCGAATGAGAATATTACTTCCGTCTGTTGGCAGACGCATACGAACCAATTGGTTACTGTTTACAATACTTACTGGAGCTACAGACCAAAATCTACATATTCACCTCCAAGAGAGTAAAAACTCACTATTATTGTACATGAAGTCATACAATGGCTGAGAATAAATACAAGAAAAAGGCACAAAGAAAACAGACAAAAGCAAAAAATATATTACTCCGAGATACTGGAATCAGTTGTGTAGATGAGCCTACAAAAGTAAGGGGTATTTAAATTTTGTTAATGAAGTGGTTCAACTAGCATATTTTGAGACTGGCCTTTTCTTTCCAGTATGTTATGGTGGCAAACGCCGGATTGGTTACTGGTCTACAGCAAGAACAGTTACTGGAGCTCACCTTACCATATGGAGGAGTTGATAGCATTATTATGCTGCCGGGAAAATCATACTGCTTTCTAATTTTTAAGGATGTACTTCATGCTTCCAGAGCATATGTTTCAATACATGGGAAGATAAAATTAACACCAAATGATTCAGGTCCATTGTATCTTGCATATGCAGAGAGAGGTAATGGGACAATTATTTTTAAATTCATATAATCCTAGAATTTGTTATATTGTCACTGTTATATTCGCTAATATGCTACATCTTATGAATCATTTAATTAGGAAGCCTTGTACCATTAAGTAAATAGGTACAGATAATTACATGCAGACAATGCAGATGGATAACTGATTGCATGTACATTGCCATGAACACATCTTCCTGCTTTTTTATGACATTTTTATTGTTTCAGTGCCAGAGTTTTCACATTCTTGGAATTATTATCAGAAGCCTCCTGGATTAATTTTGCTAGAAGAATTTGTCACTGAAGATGAAGAAGAGTCACTGTTAAACTGTATTGATTGGAAGACAACAGATTCACATTTGGGTATAGAAAGATCAGAGTTTAACCTCCTGTCGCAAGAGAGTTATATACCTGAGATGTATGCAACCTAGGAAGTCATGCTGCATTAATAGCAGACTGAAAAATATTGTCCTTATTGATGTAAACTTTGCTGGTAATACTTTGTAATCCTGGAATTATTTTAAAAGAGGAACACTAATAACAAAACATATAAATGACAATGATATTACAAAGAGCAGAGCAGTGGAAAACAACGAATACATGTTAGAAATAACTTTGTAACAATGACCAATGTTCTCCACTCAGGAATATGAGTGTTATGCATGTGCACATTATATTCCTACCAGGTTTTCTGTGCCACAAGTATTCACTTAAGTCTAGCATACAGTAGGCATAGATGGGAGGATCATATTAAAGTTGAGCTGAAAGAAATATGATAATGAGAATGCATTCATCTGGCTCAGATTGGTTCTATTGGCAGGCTTTTGGGAACATGGTAATGAACCTCTTTGTTCCATAAAAAGTGGGGAATTTCGTGATAGCTGAGCATGTATTAGCATCTCAAGAAGAACTTTGTGACATTGAGTTAAGTAAAATCAAAGTTTAAAATATTATTCATTATGATGAAAAATACCTTCGGTAATTTACTTTACACACATCAGATCTATGAATTAGCAAACAATTTAAGCGCAGTATTTTTCATAATATATATAATTTCTTAAAAAAGATATAAAATTTACACACAGTGAGGAAATTGGTTTCCATGTTAAATGTGCCTCATGTCATCATAGCATGGCACATTCAGGATCCTTGTAGATATAGAGGGTAACTGCTAATATGTTGCATAGGTAGGTGCAATAACAGTGATTCTCTTTTAGCTTGAATGTTGGGCTTGGGTTTAATAACCTGTCACTTTAAAAGAAATACAGGGTGATACAAAATCTAATGTACAGAGGAATGAAGGAAATCCACAATAGGGAGCTTCTTAATTTGCTAATGAGGTTTGGTTTAAAAGGGTGAAATTGGTAGGACATGCAGCTTTCTTGAGGCAAAAGGAATATATTTGTTTTAAAACCTCATTGATAGAAATCTCCTGTAACTAATAGCTATAGATGAAGTACCTTAGAGAAACATCTTCTGGCTGGAATTTGACCTTTCTTTCTAGTATTGGAGTGTATATAAATTTTTGCAATAAAATTGTGTTTTCACTCCAGGCCAAACCCTTAAGCACAGAAGAGTAAAACACTATGGTTATGAGTTTCGGTATGATATAAACAGTGTTGATAAGGATTGTCCATTGTCTGAAATTATACCATCTGAATGCAACTTTCTGCTGGATCGACTGAAAGAAAATAATGCAAATGTCCTGTCATCATTCCCAACTCAACTTACAGTGAATCATTATCAGCCTGGCCAAGGTAAGGAAATATGTAAATTATGAATAATTAAAATTAGACATTCCTAAATGCATACATCTCTCTTGAACTCCATGAATGTCAAAATGTACTGCATCATGATGGAAATAAATCACCTACTTTCTTGTATTTCTTTTCTTTTTTACCCGAGAGAGAACAAACAATAAGTGCAAATAACTGTATGTATAATGGAAACATATACATGCAATATTGTTCCCAAATTAGTCATAATATTTACACCATAATTATATTGGATATTGTCCATTGTCTCAAGTATAGTTAATGAGCATGATGTTATGGAGTTGACTATTACCATATTCAGTGGCAGACTATAAATTTAGTGTTTGGGTTCCATCACAAACATTGTCACTAGTCTAAAGTAAGGGTCACTTTAGACCACAATCAGCATATAAACTGCTATGATATCAAATCCTTCCAGAGTGTATCCTCCCACATTTTCACAGTATAGTACATGTCTCCATCTTTCTAGCCTCCCAAATTGTAATGTGCAGGCATTATTGTGTGCACTCTGATATCTTTAAATTGATGTTACTTAAATGCTGATCAGAAAAGACTGATAATAGAATGAACTGTAAACATGCTTGGACATGCAGTAACATGTTAGGATACGTTCATTGCAGCCATGTCACTGTGCATTCTGATTTTCTAAGATATGAATTCAGTTTTCATAATTTTGATCAGTGTCATGTTTAATTCAGGGTGTAAAAACTTGTCACGATGACACCTCCTTCATACTTTGAAAAAAGAACATTACAATTTTTTTAATTAACTAATGCTAATGCAACCTGTTTTCTCTAAATACATATTACATTAATATTTTCAGGTATTCCACCCCATGTGGATACACACAGTGCTTTTGAAGATCCAATCTTATCACTGTCACTCGGGTCTTCTATAGTAATGGAATTTAGGCATCAGATTGGCCAAATGATTCCTGTTCTTTTACCCCGCCGATCTTTGTTAATCATGTCAGAAGAGGCAAGGTACTGCTTAGAGTTATGTCACATTCTAAGTATTTTCATTAGTGCATGTTCTATATATATGCTGAGTAACTATCTGAAAATAGAACCTGAAAGTTCAGTTTCATCAACATAAAGCCTACCACTATCTCAAATCACTTCAATCCAGCTCGGATGTATGAGATTATATTTCTTCCCACTGCTTTCAATTTGTTATGTGATAACACTTCAAGAGGTTTTCCCGCCAATATTCTATACATATATGCATGAGCACACACATATATGTATATAACGCCAATCCCCTTTTGTAAGTACAGTAATAGTAAAAGAGAAAATCAGAAATTTATAAATTTAATGAGAATCATCAAAATTCTTCTGTACATTGCACATACAGACTTGCTTGTTGAATTCAGATATGCCTGGAGCCATGGTATCACGCCACGTAAAACGGATGTTATACCAACACAGAGTGGGGATCTCACGATTCAGCAACGTGGGGAAAGAACATCCTTCACATTTCGTTGCATCAGAAAAGGAGAGTGTACCTGTGTGTACCATGATCAGTGTGATTCATATAAGAAGAAAAATAGTATATCAAAAGTTCATATCATAGATGATGTACTAGCAGCACAATTAGAATCACTCCATGTACATGAGGTACGAGCCAATATGACAGTAAAATGTTACAAGCAGTGTTTTATAGTGCCCATTATGTTTAACAAGAGCAGCAATGTGATATGGAGAAAAAAACTAACCTCTTCATCTCATGCATGTCAAAATTAATCATACTTCATTAGTTAACTGAATTTCTCAGATGTTCCATCAATAGCTTGTATGTGTATTTCTCTCATTTTCTTAATTTTCTTCTACTGACCAGTGTGAAAGGAGACAGATATTTTTTTTTAACTTTCTTTATTGGTTAAGAATGAGTGAAGTATGTTGAACTTGTAGAAATATGTCAGATATGCAACTGCTGGCGTACCCTTTCAATTAAGGGCGCTCTGTAATGTCTGTTCCATCTCATACACCAGCAATTAATGTTAAATAAAGAGGATAAGATATTAACTTTCCATCTAATTGCAGGTATATGAAGAGATTGCTAATCACTTCAGTCATACTCGTCATAAACCTTGGCCAAATGTGGTATCATTTGTGCAGTCTTTACCATTCGGCTCACTCTTAGTTGATGTAGGATGTGGTAATGGCAAGTACTTTGGGAAGAAGACAGGTATTTTTGAGGTAAGTTCACAGATAAATGATGAGTATTGTGAAATTCATAATCGTAACTGTTTTTATCAGACCTGGTTGGCCTGATACAAAACAGAATCTTAGATGTTTTCAGAGGCTTTGCTGATAATTCTTTCTCTGGGTTAAAAATTAACTTCTTTTGCTTCTTTCAATTTTTATCTGTACTGCTGTGCAAAATATGTTATTGGTAAAAAATTTTACCTTGTTATTATCATTTCATTTAAGACTATCTAAAAATAACCTTCTGTTACACAGTTTAGATTATATAAATGTTCTACCAAATAAATGATCCACTACATCTTCTGACCTTGTACTTGGTCATTGTCAAGTGGACAAATGTAGAGTATTTAATGGTACACTACTGATTATTATAAAACAACTATTCCAGTATTGAATTCTTTCGTTTGATGGCATATGTATATTCCTTATTCAATACATAACAGGATGCACTAGCTTAAGATCATAATTTATGTTCTGTATTTAGATTGGATGTGACCATAGTGTTGGCCTTGCAGATGTTTGTCGAGATCGTGGGTTTGAAGTGTTCAATTGCAACTGCCTGTCATTGCCACTGAAATCTGAAATTGCTGAGGGATGTCTTAGTATTGCAGTTCTTCATCATCTTGCCACTAAAGTAAATTTAGCATAAGAAGCATTCTTATTGTTTTTGTGTATGGGTTAAGTAGCTTCATGCTCATATACTGACCTCAAAATCTTTTTTATTGCATATATATTTCAGGAACGAAGATTACGAGCAGTGGAAGAAATGGTGAGAATTCTGTTGCCAGGTGGAAAGGCTCTTATTTATGTATGGGCTAAAGAGCAAGAAAGGTACAAGACACAATCTAGCTACTTGAAACAGGACAGGAAAAACAGAAAGAAGGTGTGTGATAGTGAACTAAAACATGGACAGCAACACAGTGATGCCAGTAAATCTAAAGACACAACCTCAAACAAAGCTTCAAGTCAATTTCCATCACTTCCTATCCATACAAATAGAACACAGTTCCAGCATCAGGATCTTTTAGTACCATGGAAGCTGAAAGTAGCAGGGAAGGCTGAACTTGATAAAACAACAGAGGCATCACATCTTGAAAGTTCTCAGGAAGTGCCTACATTTTATAGATATTACCATGTGTTTCAGGAAGGGGAATTAGAATGTCTTTGCAGTTCTGTGAAGGGTGCTAAACCTATCCAGAGTTATTATGACCAAGGAAACTGGTGTATTGTTCTTGAGAAAATATAAATTCTGTCAGAATACTCTGGGGGATGGGTTAAAACAACTGCTCCAGAAGACCTCCATGATCAGAAGTCTTTCTTGAGCACATAATTGTTCAGCTGCAAGCTCAACTTTCATTGCTGTCATTGCAAAAGTCTGCCATTGGATTGTATCCGTAGCCAGTTCACCCCAATTCACATCTCACAGCCTATTTTTGAAACGTGATATACAGGATGATTCAAAAGGTCAGGGCCAAACTGAAGGAGCGTATAGAGGGACTCAGAGAGAACAATTTTCGAATAGGAATCTATATCCTCCGAAGTTATCCTGAGTCAGTCGAGGCCATTGAAGGTAGGGAAGTCTGATAACATACAGCTGAAATAATCGTACTTTGCTGTTATCCTCCTAGCTTAATTTTGTTTTTTTTATTAATGTACAAGGATTACATTAGCAATTTTACAAACCAAATTATTTCAGCGGTATGTTATCAGACTTTCCTACCTTCAATCGCCTCGACTGACTCAGGATAACTTCGGCGGACATGGATTCATATTCGAAAGTTGTTCTCTCTGAGTCCCTCTATACACTCCTTCAGTTTGGCCCTGACCTTTTGAATATCTCTGTATAAAAACTGGCATTGGCTAGAAATGTTGTGTTCAGAGACAGTGGTGTTTTTATTTTCTTTCTGAATACATGCATTTTCACCTTTATCACATTGATATTTTTATTTATGACTGCCTATGGATATCCTGTGACACTTATTTTTACTGTAATGTGCAAAGTATATGGATTGTGATGAATATATTTATTGATATATATGAATGAGTGTAGCTGAAATACATTTACTGGCACAAATACCAAGGGACAGGTTGCACATCTCTAAATAGACACAAATAGGACATCTTAAAGAATCTTTACTGACTGGTCACAGATTTAGGACAACCTAGAAGACTGAAAATACTGAGTCAGAACAGACCAGGAATATCTCTTGTAACTGACGAAAATTGTGTGTGTGTGTGTGTGTTTAAAGGCATAATGACTGAATACAAAATAAACAGTGAAAAGACCTGATGTTAAATTTCAAATCTAGGACAGTGCTTTCACTTGTTATTGGCATGTATATGCACATGGATGTAATTTGACTACTGATCATACAACAAAAGTACCAGTACCACTTAACAGATAAACTCTTTTTTTTAATTGAAAGTTCCATAGAACTCACCATATTCATCAAAAGGTGTTTTTCCCCCCATTCTATCTGATAAATGTAAGTTAAGTAACTTATGAGTATCATTGCTAAAACTCAAAATTCAATCAGGCAAAAACTGTTGAGCTGAAATTTAACCAAGTAGAAGATGTAGAATAAAGGAAGCATTTGTCTTCCTACTAAACCACAAATATCATATTAAATAATCATCTAAAGGATACAAATAGGTGTTGTGCACTTATGATTTTACACAGACTGTTGCTGAAAGAAGTCCAGGAGATTTTGCAAGTCATATTTATCTAATATTTCTATCAGTTGAGGAACTTTCCCTTTCACATTAATTCCTTTGAATTTATGTCTGTCGATGTACAAATCTGTAATCATGCCTGAAATACAGAGAACAAGTTATCAGTTCTTAAGGCTACATTTGAGGTATAAAACTAGTGCAATGGCTTACTTATTTAATTCCTTTTTGACTTTCTTTTCTTAGTGTTCAATTTCTGTTGGCCTAGTCCCATTATATAAATGTTACATTCCCAAACCACAGCCACTAATTTAATAAATTACTGATCATAAATACCAATATTATGTTTTAAAGAAAACAAGGTATTAAGGTTTCTATATTAATGCATGAGTATTCTTCAAATACTCCTTAGCACTAAGATTTTAGAGTGCAATATACTGATGTACAGGTAGACTTGTTCTATTTCCATTTTGTTGGGGTTATAAAATACTCAGTGAAGCTCTTCTGTATGTGTTGTTTGAAGATGTTACCAGTTCTGTCATTGGTGATATATCCTTATTCCTAAATGAGGTCAACAGAACAGGTAATTGTTACATGAAGCTGAATTACATGGTATGTCTTGTTCAGTACTAATCTGTACTGTAAAAGCCCTTGGTGATAACCAACATGAAGGAAAAAATTACCATATAAGCGATCTAGATGTGCAGGTTGCCGTTTGTATTGGGTCAGCAGCTCCTTCTCATTTTTCAATATCTGCTTGTATTCAGGCAAAAGACATTCCAATGATTCTGCATCATGAGTTTCGAGTTCTCGAAGTGCTTCCAGAAGTGACACTTGTTTGGAGAGTGCCAACTGGACTTTCAGCTTCGGATGCAGCAGCTGTAGAGTATGCACTACACTCTCATCATTCACTGCTGTTAGAATTTAAAAAAAAAAAAGAAGACTGTTTTGCAATCATTTTGTTCACATATTCAATACATTTAAGCCTTCAACTATGACGTAGAAAATGTTTCATCTTCCAAGACAATAGGAATTAGGGTTTTCACACTTTTGCAACTTCAGTTGATATATAAAAAATTTGATAACACATCATAAAATTCATCAGTCATCATCACTACACAATGTTAAAATTCGTAACAATTTTCCTGTTTCCTTCTCAACACCATGTCTAAAGCAAGTTGATTATTTCATAAATAGAGAATCCAAGAAGTGTAAAAGGCAGCAGCATATGACATCCAAAAAGTATGCAAATTTAAATGTATCTTTGCCTAAGAAAACAATATAATTCACAAATGTTGCAGCATATTCCACTGATTATAACAAGAACAGGAATACTTACCACACAAAAGATCAAGCTTTATTTTCTTCTTTGTAGCTTCTTTAGTTAAAATATCTTTCAAAATTGAGATAGTAGAAATGTTATCTGACTTGAATTCTGCTTCCCCCTTCCTATAAACAAATTTTTCTGCTTCACAAATAGCATCTTATGGTGCTATACATTCTATATTAAATATTTAAGCTTAATAATAACTTTTTTAGTTAAAATTTATTTAAGAAATGAACAGTACAGATATTTTGTGAAACCCCCAACAAAAGTGAATCAAGTCATACAAAACTCTTTCTCCATACACCAGCTCCAATCCTTTGATAAATCACAAATTCATGTACAGGTAAACCTCGATTTGCGCCGATTCAGAATAATGCCGCTTTTGAAACCAGCAAGTCAAAAAGTGACAAAAATATATTTTACTATTATTTATAACGTTTTACAATGTTTCTCATACTGATTCTTAAACTAAATTGTAATTCTTACATCGCTGATTTTGAATAAAAATTATAAATACAGTCACCTCTAGACTCATTGCTAAGTAGTTGCGAGATAATCTAAAAATTTGCCAACATTGCGCAACAGTCACATAAGCATTGGTCACTCTTCATGGTGAGTCATTTGCGTTCAGTCTGATAAGGGAGTAAGGAAAATTGCGTTCAGTTCGCTTCTTGTTGAGACATTGAATGTGCTGAAAACTGTGTGCTAAACTTGTTTGTGTTGTTGTTCGACCACTATTGTGCAGTAGCAACTGTTTTATATTTATAAATTGCAAAAGAACCACCATGTCTGGAAAGAGAAGTGAATGTGTTGCTAAAAAGTTGCGTAGATCTATTGCGTTAGAAGATAAGATGGGCGTAATTCGTAGAATAGAAGGTGGTGATCCCCGTCATAATGTGTGCAGAAGTATGAAGTTGCCTCCTTCCACTGTGACTACCATAATAAAATATTCATATAAAATAAAACAGTGTCAGTGCAACAGGCTATGAGTAAGTGCAATGCAAGTGAGTTATAGCAGAAGTAAACTTTTAGAAAGAATGGAGAAATTACTGTTGCTATGGATGGATGACATGAATCGAAAAAACATTCCCTTGACTGAAATTGCTATCACGGATAAGGTGAAGCAAATTTTTGAGGAACTTAAGTCATCAATGTTTGGGTGCCGGGAACGCATGTGATTGACTTCCCATTGATTTACATTATAAAAAGAGTTTCAATTTACGCCGATTTGCCCAGGAATGCATCCCCGGCGTAAATCGAGGTTTACCTGTACCTATTTTGGATATTATAAATTGGACATTAAAATTTTATGGGCTTCCTAATCTATACCTTACCAGTCTTGTCTTTAAATATTATTTTATTACTATACAATACATACGAATAGCTGCAATGCAACACAGTGTCGAGGAATGTGGAGACAAAAGTGAACGTGACTTTGTCACCAGTTGGCACCTTCTCAGGTATTTCAGGCAGGCAGAATGAGACCCATGTATGTATTTCTCCGAGGCTGAATGCTCCTTTCAGTGTAAGTATATTATATGGCCTGGAATATACATACTGAATAACACCAGGCAAAACACAGAATTCAACTGTACATAAATTCAATAAAACTTGTGGTGTAACCAACTTCAAGCTGTCCTATATTCAACAAACATGAAATTCTAGCAGTCACAAACATTTCCCCCAAGTGCCTAAATGGCATATAGTGGGACAGCTTTACCTTACTTTACTTTTTTACATTGGGTTGGACTCTACTTACCGCTGATGGTCAAAGGAATGACAACGTATGTGCAGGGAGAGGGGCTTTATCTTGTACTGCCGCACCTGGCAGCATTTGGGTTGAACCAATGGTGTGACATATGTGCGCAGAGTTCCATGCTGTCCCTCAATTGTCCGCAGCTTCAGCTCAAGTCTGGTAGTATTCATTTGGCAGCGGTATGTTGCCAGCAAATAGTTACCACTCTGTATATATAAAACAATCATTAAAGCCTTCAGGCTTTTGCAGACCTAATTTTGTTCTGGAGATGAAAATATCGGGAAACCAGCCCACCATAATTTATTGCTATCACCCAACAATGGAAACATAAATCTCAAAATACATGACATTTTAAAGATTGTACAACAAACCTTACAAAGAATTAGTTCTTTGTAAGAATTGAAAACAATTTCACTGTTCTCTGCTTCCCATATTCATATCCACATCATTTCCAAGATGATGCAGTAGATCAGAAGATATGTCAGTAAACCCTTTTAAAGTTATGAATATGATGTCTCATACAGAACCTATGTTTTGAATATATGCTTGACATTTGACAATATCACTAATGGAAACGTCTCTTGTAGTCTCTCCTTAGGAGATGTAGGGACAGAAGGGAGAATAATATTAAAATTTATCTTACAGAAACAAGGTGTGAGGGTGCGGACTGTTTTCATCCAATTTGGGAAAAGATCCAATGACATGATCTTGTGGTTTCCATAAATGGCAGGTAATTTCTTGAGTAGATGAGTGATTATCATCATCTCAAGAAGAACTCTGGCTCTACAGAGTTAATTACAGTAGCTATTTAGTTATATAAAACAAAAAGGTACTTGCCTATTTCTACATGTGGGGCAAAAACTTGGCAGAGACATAAGACGATTACAAACAGTAGAACTACTGGGGACAGCAGGGACTAGGTGATGAGAAAAAGTGAGGGAAAGAATAGACAGATAAAGGAAGATTATTTAAAGAACAGAAGAATGAACAAGGTTTTGTCATAACATGCTGAGGAAACATGAAGAAAATGTGTCAGTGGTTCAGGGTGCACTTCTTACCGCTGGTTCACATGCGCTGTAGCTTACAACTGCTGAATTCCTCTCTACATCCAGCAAGTCCACAGGAACGTCACTTTGGATAAGCACATTGTCAATAGGTGTCTGCACTTCCAGGACTAGTGAATATGAAGCATCTTCTCTGCACAGAGTCATCTGACAGCAAGTAGTCCAATTATAATTAATAAAATGACAGCTGAGAAAAATGTAAATACCACTGCAAACAAATTTAGTGGAGTACTGTTCTATAGAACAATGACTTTAAACATAATCTGGTGAAAACCTTAAATGGTAGGAACTCAGCACCAAGTAACAGGGAGACAAAACAGAAATTATATGTTGAATCAAGAAAAATTAAACGATGAATCCACTATAATATCTCATTAATGTGTACCAGAGATTCATTATTTAAATAAAATACAAAAACACACTGAGTTGTTTATAGATAACAAACATTACACATTTTTAAAATTAAAAAATATGTTATCATGGGAGTTAATGTGTAATTTTGTTTTTATAGAAATTTAAAAACCAAAATGTTGGCATTACATGGACACAAGAACATATGAGAGGTGGTATTAGTTTTCATAATTATAAAATAGGCATAAACATTAGAATTTTGGGGGTACATAGGCAAATAAACTATTGAAGCAGGTTCTACTAAGCCTGTCATAATTTAAACTGACCAATGTTTAATGGCTGCTTTTCAATTGCATGTAATTCTTTCCTGTATTAAGAGATAGCATATCCTAGCAAAATATTTTATTTTCAACACTGCATGATTTTTGTATTGAGAACAATGATCTTGTTTATGAAACAGTGTTTACATTGGTATTAAACACCCACCAATTCATGTACAGCCCATGGTAATGCACTTGGCAGTCGTAAAAAGCATAAAAGTGAGAAAGCTTGTCTCCTGCAGTGTACAATATTGGGCAAAAGTTAAAAAAATCTTCTTGTGATTTCCATTTTATATAAGTTGATGGATATTGGAAGCAAATTTTATCATAACAAAATGCCTCAAGCGTTGTACAGTAACAACAATGAAGTTTGCTGTTTACCTTATACTCCAACACTTCTGAACTCTTCCTATGATCATTAATAACACAATTCAATTCAAATAAAATTTGTTACCTTATCATTAATTGCAATGAATGGAATTGCTGATAATCCATCCACTTTGTCCTGAGTTGCTGCTTGGTACTTTTCTCTTTCTCTGTTCACTCTTTGTTCTATCTCATCAATTTCCATTCTGTAAATAATATAAATTATTATAAATAACAAATAAAGAAATCAGTGTCAGCTTGTTCCATTTTGCTATTTCCAGGGATCACTTCCATCTTAAAATTTAAACAATGTAATGATTTATTTTTAATTTACATTTTTGAGCCTAAAAAGAATGTGACAGCACATCAAAATTCAAACCTATGCCACTTTTCTAGCACTATAATAGTTTGTACTTACCATGGAGTAGCAAACCAAGAATGAAAAGAAATGTTTCACATAAAATCATTTCAAACATACTTCAACGCAGATTTCACAAGTCAAGCTTAAAGAAATCTATCCCTATATAAAACTTCAGAACTGTCAATGAATGGCACAAGTGTTGTTCCCACCTCATAGGTTCACACAAAAGAAATCAACAAACACTATAAGATGGGTGGTTCTTCTACTGTTGTTAGGAAAGAAAACATCTAGGAAGTTATATGGGCTGGATTGATACTTCTGATGGAAAGTACAGATGCACAGTTCACCAGTTGATTAATGCAGTTAGCCAGAGAGAAAAATATGAAAAATACTGCACAACAGAAATTATACAATGATCACTTCACTTAGTTGATCCTTTTCTACATGCAGGTATCAAGGTTTTATAATGATAAGTACCTTAAATTTTCAAGCCTTTCAGAAATATCAGACAAGGGAGTAAATGTGCTACGTGTACAGCAAACTCCTGTTCTGGATGAAACCATGCCAAACACAAAACCTGAAGAAGTTGAAACAAATAACACCAAAATAAGAACCTTGATGAAACAAAAAATAAAAACATGAAGCAATGTAACTTAGTCAAGAAGCCAATATTTTTATTACTGACTTTTTTTGTACGTACAGAAAACACTGGTTTTCATATTATCAGATAGTAAAAAGATAAAATGACATCAATAAATATGAATATAGTTACAGTGTGATGCATAATGAAAATAAAACATGAGGTAACATTAATATGAAAGTCAGTAATAAATAAATAAATGCCTTCTATTAAATATTCAATGAAAAATTAACAAAACTAACCAACATAAATAAAACAGTGACAATGAGTGAAACAAGCACAAAAGACTTCTCAGTAAGCTGCTGCGAGTAAGTGCCAACACTATGTAGTGCAAGATACCTCAGACGCATAATCTTCTGCTGAGCATCCTGGGAAATGTTCATACTGCCAGTCTCTGTATCCATAAGTATTTGTTTATCCACCACTTCTGTCGTCAAGCCAAAAATCCACCCTATACAATATAAACTTATTGATATTATAAGAAACGATGGAATTTATATTCATGAAAAAGAAATAGAAATCTATTATTAACAACTTGTGGTGGAGCTACATGGACATAATGCAGATTTTCCATTCACTCATTTATTCAAGATGAAACTAAAAGTTTGTTAAAAATAACACAACCTCATGAGCCATAGGTATGAGTTTGGTCCACTCTACACTTAACAGGAGCGTCTTACCTCAATTACCTGACATACACACACGTAGCTCTGATATGTCTGGCGTGATAAGATTTCTCAAAACAAACATTTTGAAGTTTTAAAACCTTTTAGTGGCATACTGTGAAAAAAGACAAAAATATTCATTACCTGTATATGTTGAAGCCACCACTTCTTCATAGCCTGCATTTCCAACAACCCCACCATGGATAGAGGTAATACTTTCATTGCATGACTGAAACAAAATACAAAATTTGTAACCTAACTACTACAGAGTTAGTGTGGGATTCTGACAAGACGGATGCAGCAAAATGTGTCCAATAAGAATTAAATAATAATACCTGCCAAAACTTTAGCATTTATTGGTTACATCTGTCACCACACACTTACATATGAAAACCTCTGTGTTAGTTTTCCGTCACCAGCATCATCACCCAATGAGAAAATGTCCAAAGTTCCATCCTGTCGCCCTATCAGGAGGTCTAATACTCCATCCCCTGACATATCATAGCAGTCCATGCAGAGGATACCACCACGATGCTTACCATCATTCAGTATCCATCGATGATTCACCTCTGTCCTAACAAAGAAAAGATACTGCATGAACTGCTTAAAACATCTGCATAACAGACAATTTGCAGTGAGAAAAATCTATTTTAAAACACTAGTTCATGATGTATCTCTTGAACTATTGTTTTCAAAGCCAGTCACAAATTAAAACTGAAACCCCACCAACAGATCGAATATTTTCTTGTTTCAGAAAATAACAACTATGAATATGGACACCTACATCATTAATCCCTAATGACTAGACTAAAGAACATGAGAATTTTCACATGTGCTGTATATCATCAAATTGTAGCTGTATAATTATAAATGAGATTTGGGGAAATAATGGAAGGATGTGGTTATGACCTGAAATGACTGAGGAAGACCACAGAAATCTCAGTCACAATTCAAATCTCCTTTAAACTGGAAACATCCTAACATAAGCAAAAGCGCTCACCATCAGAACACAACATTCTGAGAAGTGAACTGCACAAAATGTGGAAATAGTTGGCAGACACTTTGTTTTTCTTATATAGGTAGCACAGAGAAATTACTTATACAAAACCAGTAACCAATATAAATATTTTAAAAATAGTTTTCTTTTAGATACCTGGA